TTTTAGTTATTCGCAAATAAAGTTTGTTTTCTTTCATAACTTGTTTGCCTGAATTTTTGGGGTGATTGGACTATTTTGACCGCAGGAAACCTTCGAAATTGGTGGATCAATCGTGAGATTTGGTGAAGAATTAACGATGATATGGCATGCCGATCAAAAACACCATCGATAAATAATATAAATTCCTCCTCTCTCGATCATAGAGACCTCAAGTCGACGAAATGACACATTTATTCAATGACAGTACCACAATTAATGTAAGGCTGTTTGGATGCGAATCCAATGCCTTGCGTTATCTCGAAAATAGTACGTTTTCGTAGTAGTACAGGGCTTAAAAACGCAGGATCCGATAGTTACGGAGGAACTATCCGGGTCTTGCTGTACGCATCAAAATCTTCAAGATCCAGACCTACCAACGTTCCAGTATTGAATCCTAGAAAAACGTTTGTATCGACTTTATTTATTTTAGAAAGAAAAACAAAAGTGGAGAATACGATTCGCTAACCCCCCCCCGTGAAATTCTGAATCCAACGGTACCCCATTCATAGCATTTGAGCATGACAGGAGCTTATATTTGGTACAAAACCGATTTCGAGCCTTACTGTAATAATATATATGGGGATAACAACAACAATACTTTACAAACAGACTTACCAAAATTAACTATTGACCAACATACTCTTTACTCCTTTGCGATTGCTGTATATCTATACAAAAATAGGTATGAAATAGTATTTGGCGATTTTCAGAATTTTATAATTTGTTTTTTTTAAATGATCTATACAATTATTTTATCCCTCGTGAAAAAAATGATAAATCTGTAATGAGTATGTTCCACCTAGGTTGAAGTAGTTTTACAATTTTTTATACTATTTGTCCTGAAATCTTGATCCTTTAATCTTTATTTTAAAAAAACAAAATATCGTTTTTCTAATAATTAAGACAAATACAAAATATGAATTTGAGAATAAGAAAATTAGATAAAGGCCTACATTCGAACAGACACAACTCGAAATAATTGAGCGGTTACTTAGCATACAACTATAGTTAACTTAGCAAACAATAGTTCATTTCATTCTCATTCCATGTAAAAGCTATCTATTATAATTGTTTTGATAAAAATTTATTGCCGTATAAAATTATTTCTTCAAACAATTTCTAATTGTTCTGAAACTGCCATATTAATACTGAATTAACCGGAGTAATGTGATCACAAAAACAGAATGTATCACTACTTTATATATATACCCTATACATGATTATTTGCGAAATATGAAATTATCAGGCAAAATAATATCCCTATAGCCATTTGTTCATGGAAGAGTATTTTTTTTTTTTTAATTTTAATTTTTTATGTGATTATTAAACCTGTCAGACCAAATATGTTTGTATCATCAAATTATTTATAGAAGAGCGTTGTATAAATTTTATAGCTACATTTATATATGTTTTATTTATTCAATTCTTAGTTCTATTTAAAAATCCAAAACTAATAATTATTATAAAATTAAATAAATTATGGTATTTAGAGTATGTTTATGATATGATATTTCAAAAAGAAGGCTCGGAAGTAAAAAAATAAATAAATTGTGTTAATTTATTCTAGAGAGTACTGTAACTCAGAGGTAGCTGACCTCAAATGCTAAAGATTCCAGATTCGAATCTGGTTGACGGCAGATAAATTATTAGCAGATTGACCCAGGGATAGGAAGACCTAGCCTCTATAAAGTGAGAACCCTTAATTAAATAATTATCGAAGGAGGAAAGACCAGGCGGTTGAACGTGATCTTGGTCAAATCACTTCTTTGCACAATCGTTGACCCATTAACAATAATTGGTTACAAAAAACCGAGTCCCTTCACGGGTTGTAGTAGAAAAATGTTTTTTTTTCTTCTTTTTTTTCTTCTTCTTTTTCTTCTGCTTTCTTCTTTATAAGACTAGGTCAGGAACTAAAATGAAGAACTCGGTAGTCCTCCTCAGGCCCTCCAGGTTTCCATATAGTTTTCTTTCCACTTCAGTTGGAGACGGCCAGATCACCTTCCTTTGCTGGGAATAGGATATGTTCCACATGCTGTATACCCTCACCGCACTCGCAGAGGGGACTAGAGCCAATTTTGAACTTACTGAATAGGTGAGCTTTGGCCCTGATGTGTCCAGTTCGTAAGCGAAAGATCAAGACTTGATCTCGTTGAGTTAGTCCATAGATCGCATCTCTGGGGTCGTGAAGTTGACGACTTCTCAGCCTACGTTGGTTAATAATAGCTTTATTGATTGTTGATACCTCGTCTAGTCTGATTTTACAATCAAATTGCGGACTCAAGGTCCCTTCCTTTGCCAGCTGGTCTGCTCTTTCGTTTCCATAGATGCCACAGTGTCCGAGGATCCATTGCAGGACAACTTTTTTGTGAAGGGACATCAAGTCTTCAAGTTCTTTGGCAAGATTTATAAGGATTTTGCTCCACTTCGACCTGAGCTTTATTTTCCTTATTTATTCTAGGCCGAAGTTTCAACGCACATTTGTTTTCCGTGGAGAATAAAAGATCATCGAATGATAAGCGACAAATGAAATAATATAGTAATCTAATGAACTAATATACAAAATTATAATGTGTTAATTAGTTGTAATAACATAAGTATTGATAGGTGGTAACGTAACAAGGGATAGATAGATCAAATAATAGGCAGAATAAAAACACAAAGAGGATTAAATAAGGGACTGATTAAAAATTAATTTTAATTAATAAATAAATGTAATAAAAATAACAAAGATAATTAAAATATCGTA